AATAAAATTTTATTATAAAATTTATTAATTTTTTATATAATATTTTCAAAATTAGTTTTTTTGGTAAAAATTTCCTTACTAATAAAGGTATCCCCCTACTAAAACCTGTCTATGTTAACCTTGAGTTGAGCTCCAGCCAGATGGAGCCATTTAAGAAAACCTGTATAATGTGTTATTTGAATTTGATATTGTTGTGTATTTAAAATTAGGAAAGTGACATGACTAAAAAGTAATCAAACCAATCATATTATCTAGTATTAGAATAATCATTCACCTATGTTTAGTTATGGATTTTGACATTAATTAGGCTGATAAGATCCATTCATAATAGAAAAACCAAATTTAATATCCTTCCAAACAAACCCTTTATATTTCACTTTTTTTCTTTTTTTAAAATTTTGAATGCACAAAATGAGCTATTCTTTTGCTCTTTTATTTTTAAAAAAATTGCTAGCGTCACATCAACAACATAACAAATTAATTACTATTTCGTTTTAATTTAATTATCCTATTTATTAAACTTAGTTATCTCAATTTAATTATCATATGTTTTAATTTATTTTAAAATATTATCTTTTATTTTTTAGTAAATTTAATTTAATTTTTTAATTAAAAATTTTTTAACATAAATTTTAAATAAAAATTTAACATACTATATAAATGATAATTAATTTTTTTTAATTAAATAAAATACTTGACAAAAATTTTATATGAAAAATAAAAATAAATTTTTTTATTTTCTTAATATAAGTTGTCAAATTTTTATATATAACTTATATTTTAAAAGTCAAAAAGTTAAAATAAATTTCCAAAAAATAAATGAGTAGAGTAAATACTATTATTTCAAGTTTAATCCTATTAGTACCCTAGTTTATTTTAAGGATAATAAAATTTTTATCAAAATAAAAGTAATTTTAACACATACCATGAAGTTTTAACAAATTTTAGTTTTTTTCATCAAAAAGAAAAAAAATCATTTTTTTATTCATTGGATGATGGGTTATGTAATAGACATAGTCTTCTTTTTTTCAAATCTCTATTTATTAGTTTTAAGATTTGAATTTGAATATCAAACATAAAAATTTAAATTTTTAATCACTGAAACATTCTGTAGAAGTTATTTTTAGATTGTTTAGGTATGTTAGGACAATCAGAATGTAGCGGAGGGAGCATAGTTTTACCCCTTTTAATGTTGGGTAAAGGATATTAGAGCTGGTTTATAGTTACATTAAGATTAATCTCTGTATGATTCAATTAAAGATAAGATATGCATGTCAAAATTAAAAAATTCATGAAATGAGAAATAT